GGATGCACACAGTCCTTTCTCAGACAGTGGGAAAACTGGGAATGGGATTGCACATCTGCAGGTGAGGATTTCAGCCCACGAGGAGCTGGGAGGTTCAGCTGCCTCCCTGTGCTGTTACCCCGGCACCGACGTGCGTCAGCATCCCCGAGAAGTTTCCGGCTGTGGCTGTAAAACAGCCGGAGCTGGGAAGAGGCCTGCTCCAAGCTCAGGCAGAGCAGATGAACCACATTCCCCACGACGTCCTTCCCTCCCTGCTGAGCTCACAGCACCCGAGGTGCATCTGGCCCTGCCAAAGCGCCCATCCTGCGCCTCTTCCATCCAGCCCTTGACCAGAAGGGCAAACGGAAAAGCTTTTGGTAACTTCCAGCTGATCTTGGCTGGGAATGAGTGACTCACAAAGGAAAAAATTCCCTGCCTGTTCCTCTGCGACCAAAGGTCAGGCAAAGCTCGCAGCGGGACCTGAGGAGAGGCTTTCCACCATCTCACCCGAGAGCCAGGCCCCTTATGCCATCCTTGGTTTTGTTCAGGAAGGCAGATTTGAAAGCCATAAATGTTGTCCCACGTCTGGTGAATGCATGGAGGAGTGGAAAACCCACCTGACTGAAGGTGAGTGGCTACTTGAGAGAGGAGCAGCCGCCAGTGCCTCCAGCCTCCAGCCTCTCCCTCGGTGCTTTCTGGAGCCAGGCCTGGGCAATCTGCAGAGCTGCTGTGCAGCTGTGAAAGAAACAGCCTGCCCTGCTCTGTACAGTGAAGCCTTCAAAAGGCTTGGCTTATTTTCCCCAAACATGTCAGGGTTTTCACAGAATCGCCCAGAATGCTTTGGGTTGGGAGGGACCTTAAAGCTCAGCCCATTCCAACTCCCTGCTGTGAGCAGGGACATCTCCCACTAGAGCAGTTTGCTCCAAGCCCCGTGCCTCATCACTAATTTCTTCCTAATACCCAATCTAAACTTACTCTCTTTCAATTCAAAGCCATTCCCCCTTCTCCTATATCTCTCTCCATGCCTGTGTTTTCTCTTTACGCTCCCACTTCTCCCCTGTGCTGAGCTCTGTGTCCATTATAGAGCCCTTCCATAAATATTGTTTCACTCATTTCCTGGCTGCCTCCAACTTGCACCATCTTGGGGAATCTGGCACTTTTATGTGAAGGCCAAAACACAATGTCTATAAAAGCAAGGACTGAGACACACTGGGGAAAGGATCACATGTTCAGGCAGTCATCGCCTTCTCCTTCTGCACTAGGTCAGATGATTAAAACTGAACGGATGGAAGCAATTCCAAGCCCTGCAAAAAGCCAAAACTTCAGCTCTCAATAGGAAAATGTTATCTACAGGGATAGAAAAACAGGCAATCATGCCAGGAACTTCCAGGCCAAACTTCACTCACTGAAGTGTTCCTGACACTCCTGCTTTGTCTGGGGGATGAGATTGAGGGGGGCTCACCCCTACTTAGTTCCTGTCAAGTCAGACCAGTTCCTCTATTCCCACCAACACCACAGCAATAAAAGAAATAACCCCAAAGCATGACTTCTCCTGTACTAGCAAAGGAGTCAACACTGGAAACAGAGGAGCTGTTTGAAAGCTTCATCAGCTGGGAGAGCTGGGGGTGCTCACCTGGAGAGAAGAAGGCTCCGAGGGGACCTCAGAGCCCCTTCCAGGGCCTGAAGGGGCTCAGGAGAATTGGAGAGGGACTGGGGACAAAGCCCTGGAGGGACAGGACACAGGGAATGGCTTCCACTGCCAGAGGGAAGAGATGGATGGGATATTGGGAAGGAATTGTTCCCTGGGAGGGTGGGCAGGCCCTGGCACAGGGTGCCCAGAGCAGCTGGGGCTGCCCCTGGATCCCTGGCAGTGCCCAAGGCCGGGTTGGACACTGGGGCTTGGAGCAGCCTGGGACAGTGGAAGGTGTCCCTGCCATGGCAGGGGATTGGAATTAAATGATCCTTAGGGTCTCTGCCAACCCAAAGATTTCAGGGATTTTATTAAATAAATGCTTTGCACTCATTGATTAAAATGGTGCCAGGCTATAGGGGAAAAAGCCAAAGTAATCAATTCTAGACAGTAACACGTACACAGAACAGAGTGAAATGCAGTAGTTCTTCCCCCTTCATTGAAGCAGTTTCCAAAGCAATTCTGGGTTTAACATTATCACAGAATCACAGAATGGTTTGGGTTGGGAGGGACCTCAAAGCTCATCCAATTCCCAACCCCTGCCATGGGGTGTTCATGCTGGTGTGCACATGGGATTAAAAAAACAAAAAACAAAAAACAAAAAACAAAAAAACAAAAAAAAAACCCAAAACAAAAAAAAAACCAAAAAAAACAAATAAATTTCTCCAAAAAGAGCTCTGCATCTTCACTCAGGACTGCATCTCTACCAAACTGCACAGCTCCAGTGCTTCACTTTCAGAAGATGAATGGGTTTTATTTGCTTTAACATCCCTGCCCTGCTTTCTTCATGAGCTGGGCAGCTTCAAGTCCAAATTTAAAGTAATATATTTTAATTTTCTGGGCAAAATAATTGCTTCCCTGCACTCACAGCCACTAGACTTAACACAGTTGCCAGTTCTAAGAGTCACCCAAATTTGGGCTGACTCCAGCACACAGAGACAAGCAGGATGTTTTCCCAGAGAAGATGCACCACAGTCACACACCGGGGTAGTGTGTGGAGGTTTTTTCTTTGTGAGGCATCACAGGGCTTATGTCAATGAGGTGCTGTTTGATTTTTAAAGCAACTCTGGTCCCACTGACACACTTACTACTCTCAGAGATCACCTTGCAGGCCACCCTTTGGTACAGGATTATACCATCCCTATTTTAAAGCTCTGATTTAGCCAAGCTTATACACAAGATGAAGAACTTCATACCTAATGGGCTGAATACACTGTGGTGTCTCAAAATTCGATCTCAGCTTACACAGATTTTGAGCAGAGTAAGTCAAAGCTTTGACATAAATGAGAGCAAATATATTCCTATCACCAGTGCTTTGAGCTTGGCCATTAAATGGGAACGAGCCTGCCTGATTTTTCATACACAAATAACTCCAGGCATGGACAATTATAAGGGAATAATGGAAATATTTGCCACAGGAATTCCTCATCCTTCCCCCACCCCAAGTGCTTGTGCCAGCCGTGGGCAAATGTGCAATCACAGAAACATGGGGACATGTAAACATTCCATACACGCCCAGAGATGCACACATTGTGCATCCATGTATAAATATATTCACACCCAGGCACCTCCTCACCTCTGCCCTGGCCACAGCACAGAGGACTCACCAAGGGACAGGAGTGTTTGCTATTAATCCAGCTTCAAACAGGGACACTTCTCACAAAGCCCAGCTCTTCTCTGTACTAAGAAGTCTGTAAATAACACCCCATTAACTTTTAATCCCATCTTTCCCACTCTGACATGCATTTTGTATTGAAATGAAAGTTATATAAGGTTGAATCAAGGTTGCTTTTTAATATTACATTAAGGCTATTTACCATGTGCAGTACTAATCCCCCTTTGAAAAAAGGAGCCTATTACCAATTCGGAAAGCTTACGTTGCCATAGCAATAGTCCAGCACTGGGAAATATTTATATAATGTCTCATGTTTTCACTTGCAACAGCCATCTTCCAGACTGGACTGCCCACTGACCCTGCCTGGTTCCTCCCTGTCCCACGCAGGGCACAGCACCTGCCTGGAGCCTAACTCTGAAAAAGCTGAATGTGTCCAGACCCACCTGCAGGCAGTGCCCCTGCACTCCCTGCTCCTGCAGGCCCACCACGGTCCACACTGTCTGCAGCTTGTGCTGATGGCAAATGTCCAACGAGAAGTTCCTGTGCCTCTACTCCCAAAATGTGTGACCACAGTAGCAGGTAACCTCCTGCTAAGGTCACATCCATTGAGACATCTTCCGTGTCCAGGGAAGGGAATGGAGCTGGGAAGGGGCTTGTCCTGGATTGCCAAGCAAAATTGTATTCTATTTGCCATCTCTATGGCAGCTGCCTTCTGTGAAGTGGGCAGTTTTCCTTATCTCTTCCACACCCACTCCTCCCTCCAGGGAGGGCATCTGCTGATAACAGGCTACTGAATGTCACTGCATGGCTGACAAGAACTACAGCATCCCAGTGGGAGGTGCTCTGCCCAGGGGGAGGAGCCTAGCATTCCTGCCTGGATATAATCTGAGATTCTGGAATACCAACACAGCTTTTCCACTGGATTTCCCAGAGGAACAGGTGCCTCTTCCACTGGATCTTCAGAGGAAGACTACACCCTTCTACAGGATCCCTGCTCCAACAGAACCACACCTGACACTCCAGGACACTCTAACTGTGGCTTGTGCAGCCACAATTCCAATTGGACTGCTACCAGCATCCTGACCAACAGGGTGTCAGGTTGTGTTCTGACTCTGTCAGTGTTGTTTTAGTTTACTGCATTGTTTATTTTATCTTTTTATTTTCTTCCCTAATAAAGAACTGCTATTCCTCCTCCCATATCTTTGCCTGAGAGCCCCCCTTAATTTCAGATTTATAACAATTAAGAGGGAGGGGGTTTATATTTTTACATTTTTCCATTTCAGGGGAGGCTCCTGCATTTCCTAGCAGACACGTGGCTTTCCAAACCTAGACAGGGCTGCAGTCCCAGGAGAGGCTGAGGGAGCTGGGAAACAGGCTCAGCCTGGAGAAAAGGAGGCTTGGAGGGACCTTCTGGCATCCTGAGAGGAAGGTGGACAGCACGGGACAGGACAAAAGGAGACAACCTTGAGCGGTGCCAGGGAAAGTTTAGACTGGAGATAAGGGAAAATATCTTCCTTGAAACAGTGGCCAGGTGTTGGAACAGGTTCCCCAGGGCAGTGGTAGACTCACCACACCTGGAATTGCTCAGAAGTTGAGTGGGATGCAGCACTTGGGGACTATGGTGGTGCTGCTGGGTTCATGGTTGGAATGGATGATCCTAGAAGGCTTTTCCAACCTCAACAATTCCACCATCCCCTCGTCCCTGGCCACCCTTACCTTGATGTGCTCGTGCAGCTGCGCCTCATGCTGCCGAGAGAGCTGCTCGTGCTGCCGCTGGAACTCTGCGATCAGGATCTGCCTCTGGATCTGCTGCTTCTGCTTGAGGGCCAGCAGCTCCTGCTGCAGCTGCTGCTCCCGCAGCGTGGGCTCCGTCACCGGCATGGAGAACTGGTGGTCCAGCCGCAGGTCCATGGGCACCGAGCTCGGCGCCACTTGCAAGGGCAGGGCTGTGCTCACGTCAACTGTGGGGGAGAACACCAGAGCAGGGTCAGCGTGGGCCTCATCCAGCTAAGGATGGAGCAACCGTGGTCTGCACCAAGAGCAGCACCATGGAGCTCACACCGTTCCCTTAGAGGTAACCAAGGACTACAGGAATTCAGGGATCGACAAGTTTTCCACCAGGCACCACCTCCTACAAACCCGTGTGTTTGCTACAAGCAAAGAGCATCATGTGGGGCCCATCCATGCCTTCTAAACACACACAGAGCTCTGTTCCACTCATCCAGCACCACGGGAAATAAGGAGGATAAAGAGTAATCTGAGACTTCACAGAAAGGATTAATCCTGACTTGTGATGGATGAAGTGATGGACTGCTGTGGTCAGGAACATGAGGCTCTTCCTTTAAGAAACTCATGCAAAAACCACGATGTGCTGATAATAAATCCCAAACTGGTTTGGCTTGGGAGGGACCTCAAAGCCCACCCAGCACCACCCCCGCCATGGGCAGGAACACTTCCATTATCCCAGGCTGCTCTAAGCCCCATCCAGCCTGGCCTTGGACACTTTACAGGGATCACCACCCCTGCCATGGGCAGGAACACTTCCATTATCCTAGGCTGCTCCAAGCCCCATCCAGCCTGGCCTTGGACATTTTACAGGGATCCAGGAGCAGTCACAGCTGCTCTGGGCACCCTGTGCCAGGGCCTGCCCACCCTCCCAGGGAACAATTCCTTCCCAAAATCCCATCTATCCCTGCCCTCTGGCAGTGACAAGCTACAGCCCTTTTGCAATACCTGAATACAGCTTGTTTCTCCTAAAAAAAAAATAAAAAAAATCACTGCCACCCCGTAGATCTCAAAAAATCTTCTAAATTCCACCTGAGTGACAGTTCTGCCTTTCACAGGTATTCTGTATTAGCAACATTTGCTCTCTCTCTCTCTCTCTCTGGGGCAATCCCTCAATAACTCTGCTGAGAGCTTTGAATGAACATCAGTTACAGGATAACAAAGGCTAATCCCTCAGAAACACTGAGCTTCAGCAAAACTGGAAAATAAAGGTGGGGTTTTTTTCTCCATATCCTCTGTCAGGACATTAATTTTATCCACCCCAGGGAGAGAGTTCTCATAGGGTTTTTCCCAAATACTGTCATGGAGCAGAGGTCCAGGAGCATGTTCACCCCTCCCTGCACCAGGCTCAGGCAGAAGGAGGAGGAGACTTTCTTTTTTTGATGGAAACATTTTCGGCAAAAGGTCACATTACTGGAAGTGTTGCTATTTTTCAACCCACAAGCTCTTCCCTCCACTTCCCTATTGCTTTCCTTCCTGTGGCCTTTTCTCCGCTCCCCTCTCTCCCCAGCAGGACCACAGCGAGAATTGCTTGCCAAGGACTGATTCCCAAGCCACAGCCAGGGATTTTGGGGAGACCAGCACACTCTGACCCAGAGATAAGCACTCAAACTCACCTTAACACTGTGTTTGAGGTCTCTGGGGAGACCTCAGAGCCCCTTGCAGGAACTGAAGGGGCTCCAGGAGAGCTGGAGAGGGACTGGGGACAAGGGATGGAGGGACAGGACACAGGGAATGGCTCCCACTGCCACAGGGCAGGGTTAGATGGGATATTGGGAAGGAATTGTTCCCTGTGAGGGTGGGCAGGGCTGGCACAGGGTGCCCAGAGCAGCTGTGGCTGCCCCTGGATCCCTGGAAGTGCCCAAGGCCAGGTTGGACACTGGGGCTTGGAGCAACCTGGGACAGTGGAAGGTGTCTCTGCCATGGCAGGGTGAGCTTTAAGGTCCCTCCAAGCTAAACCATTCTGGGATCCCACGTATTCCCCTTGTCCTGTCCCTCCATCCCTTGTCCCCAGTCCCTCTCCAGCTCTCCTGAGCCCCTTCAGGCACTGGAAGGGGCTCTGAGCTCTCCCTGGAGCCTTCTCCTCTCCAGGCTGAACACCCCCAACCCTCCCAAGCATGCAAAACTCAACACAGGCAGAAGGAACCATCCCACCACTTGTCGTTGTGCCTCGAGACCCATTCCTCCTACTTTTGACCCCAAAAAGGAGCCTGAAGTTGCCATTCCATGCTGGAAAATAGTCCTAAGAAAACTTGACCAGTCTCCCATTTCCTATCCAATGGGAGTCATCCCCCCACAGCTGAAAGGATGAGGAGCACAATTCCCATTCAGGGCTCCAGCAGAGGCTGCGTCATCCCTGACTCTTGACTATTTCAGGCTCCAAAAATCCCCTCTCGGCCCTGTGGGGAGCCGCTGACCCCCAGAGCCCTGCAGAGCCCCAGCCAGCCCTCCCTGCTCAATGAACACAGCCCCACAACAAAAACCTGCCTGTGCTCCAAGAGTGTTTGATGGGACACTCGAAAATTGCTTTTCTAGGTCCTGCCTCAAGAACACACGAGCACAATCGGAGTGGTGACGTGAGCCAAGGCACAAAGACGACATTCAGGGCTGGCATGAGAAATGCCAAAGCCATGAATTAGGAGACAAGATCCTGATTATGAATAACAAACTATCTCACGATCTCTCCCTGCTTTTATTTCTTCCCTGTAGGAACAGAAAACCATCCATTTTTTAATTCCCTCCCCCCCCCCAACTTTGGGATATAGGGAATTATTTTTTCCCTGTGATCAAGTTAGCCTGATTTTAATTCCATGGTCATGTTACGATGATTTTTATTCCAAGTTAGAACCATTCTGCTGGTGTTTCCCTTCCCAAATAAATAAAACATGGCTGTACATCAAAGCCTGCTTGCATGCTGCACGTTAATTAAGACCTAAAGCATTTCAGTCCCCCTCAGTCACTGACGGAGATTGGAAATTTGACATCTCGCAGCTCGTCCGTAACACACTGAGGGGAATAAGCCAAAACACAGGGAAATTAAGTGATAATCTCTGACCTGTAAGCAAAGTGAGCTTCCTACAGAAAGTATTTAATCATGGAATCACAGGATGGACTGGCTTGGAAGGAGCCTAAAAGGTCACCCCATTCCACCCCTGCTATGTGCAGGGACACCTTCCAGCAGCCCAAGTTGTCCCAAACCCCAACCAACCTGGCCTTGAACACTGCCAGGGATCCAGGGACAGCCACAGCTTCTCTTCTCCCCACTCTCACAGGGAACAATTCCTCCCCAATATCCCATCCATCCCTGCCCTCTGGCAGTGGAAGCCATTCCCTGTGTCCTGTCCCTCCATCCCTTGTCCCCAGTCCCTCTCCAGCTCTCCTGGAGCCCCTTCAGGCCCTGGAAAAGGCTCTGAGCTCTCCCTGGAGCCTTCTCCTCTCCAGGTGAGCACCCCCAGCTCTCCCAGCCCTGGCTCCACTGGAAAAATTAAAAACATTTCACATAAAGACATCATATTTCACTTAAGACATTATCAGGGGAGTTTGTATGTGTAGATTCTCCCACACTCCAAAACGGAAAATAACTTCTCCATAAGTCCCAAGTGTTTTGGAAGGGATTAGGGGAAGGTGACACTAAACCTGTGAATACACTTTTCAATAAAACTAACAGTAATAATTGAATTTTCTTCCCCTTCTCTGATACAGCATTTTCATGCTGGTTTTTAAAGGATGGAAATAAAGGTTAGAGTCCTGAAAGCACATTAAAATGTTAAATCAAAAATTTGGTATGAGATGCACCAAACGAATATTTAAATTCAAACCTTGTTTCAGCATAACCTCTACTTAAGGTTAATTTAAAAAATATTCACAGAATCCCAGAACCACAGAGGGGTTTTGTTGGAAGGGACCTTAAAGACCATCACATCCCAGCCCCCTGCCAGGGGCAGGGACACTTTCCACTAGACATCAAACTGAAGGTTTTTTATATCAAATGCTGTTGCCAAAATTACTCTTTCCTTTCCTTTTTTTTTTCCCTTGATCTTATACTTTTTTTTTTTAATTTAAATTTAGGCAGCACAGAAAACTGCCTCTCACATTTGAAATCCAGCATCACCTTCAAAGGGAAAGTGCAGGAAATGCTTTCCCCGAGCTCTCCCTCCCTCCGGCACAGAGCGAGTCCCGCCGAACACAAACAGCTCCTGCCCAGCTCCTCTTTCTTCAAAAATTCCCTTTGGAGAAGGGAAAGAAATCTCATCATCTCCCCAAACCTGCTGCAAAACCCCAGAGAATGAGAGTCTGGTCAAGGCTGGAGGAAGAAATCAGTTCCCACTCCAGGACACATCCCACCTGCCCATGACAGAGCAAGCCTGGGAGATTCCCAAAATCCCAAGAAAAGAGCATTCCAACCTCTTCTAGTGACTCTCCAGTGCCTGGTGCCCTCCCAAATCACTGCCCTCCAGGAATGAGAGGTTCCTGGGGCTGGCTGTGGTTGATACTCCCCAGCCAGGGCTTTCCAGAGCCCATGGACTCAGCTTCTCCCTCTCTCCCATCCTTTCCGGGCCAGGGCTTTATTCCCAGCTAATGAGTTTGCTTTTTAATTACTGCTGTGCCAGCCATGCCCTCGGGCCAGGCTCTGCCAAGAGCAGCACGTCAGCCTTTGGGCACCCACAAAAAGCAAACACAAAGCCAGAGGATGTGCTCAGGATCCCAAACTCTTGGCTGCTGCCATCAGATCATCCCCATCCTGCTGAACCACCCAGCGGGATGCTGAGGAAGTGTGTGCATGGATCTCCCCCTCTCAGCATTTTTTCCAGCTCTTTCCTCCCCAGGGAAAAGCAAAAAAATCATTTGACTTTATTCCTCAGGGCTGTCCTCAGTGTCCAGCAACAGTTATGGATTTTTAAATAATTCCCTGTGTTTTGAAAGACATTTAAACATCAAGCTGCTGCTGGCAGGAATGCCTTGGGCATATGGGGAGCATGATGCTGGCTCCGAATCCTCGAACGCCGTTCCTATAACCATCACCCCAGTTTTCCTTCAGAATCAGCCTAGAAAGGGAGGTGAACAGCTACTGTTGACTCTGAGCACAGCCAAGGGAGCACTTGAGGTGGTTTATTCTGGCAGGAAGATGTGTGCCAGTCGAGCATCACTGGATTATTGTGAATTAAATCCATCCCCC